ATTTCCCGTTAACTGCCGCACGTGCCGAGTAACCATGTAGAGCATAATAAGGACCGATGACCGTCCGACACAGTCACCTGCGGGTGTAGACCGACTGGAGTTCATCCAAGTTGAGAATCCCTGTACTTTTCCTTTTCATCGCATATGTTTTTTATATACTCATTTGACTTGTTATTTCAATATTATCTTGGCTTGTGAATTTTAGGTAACCGTTGTGGAGTTTCTTGGACACGTCGGCGGGATGGGAATCGATATGGAGATTAGCAAACTGTTTTCAAAGATCCTCACAAAGCAAGGATTCACCTTCAAGCTCAACACTAAAGTTCTATCCGCAAACCGAAACGGCAGTGACATCATCGTGTCCACGGAAGGTGTGAAGGACGGGAAGAAGAGTGAGGTACTGTTGATAGTCCCTCTGCTCTTATTTTTTGTGTTGATTTCAACTGACAGATATTTGAAGCTCATGTTTGGTTGGCTAGCAGTGAAGGTATTCAATTCGTACTCCTTTAACAACTCTTGCCAGTTTCAGTTACTCATAACGCGTGTTCCAAGTATCCTGGGATTTTCTTCCAGAATGCTTCATCTAAGTATGTTCTCGTGGCTTCCGTCCTTTTGAAGAGACACCAGGTTGAACGGCATCTATTGATTTGTTTTAATCGGCGAAACTGTATGTAGAGTCTTACCTGTTTTGCTTGTTTTTTTTTATGAGGACTGTTCTGCTTTTTCGGTTATATTTCCCTAGTCCACGAAAAATTTGTCTATGGGAAATGCATCCCGTTTTAATTCACGAATCGCAAAAACGTATATAGCCTAGTTCGCATTGCTTATGGCTTCCGTAGTTCCACCCACTATATATTTAGCTTAAGTTTCCCACAACCATTTCTTATCTACAATACATAACCACATGCTTATCATTCGCTGCCATTTTATAGATAACCTGCGACACCGTTTTGGTATGTATCGGTCGCCGTCCTTACACGACCAATCTCGGTCTGGAAAACGTTGGCATTAAAACCGATGACAAAGGCAGGGTCCCAGTTGACAAGCGTTTCCGGACTTCTGTACCGAAGTAGGCCTCCATGAAATGTTTCCTCTGTACAATGCCTTTTGCACCGATCAAATAAGTTGTTTTCATCGTTGTCAAGCATGCTTAACCTGCATACCATAATACTTGCCTTGCCCTTGATATCACTTAAACTGAACAATACAGGACTTTTGTCGATGGAGGCGAAGCAGCGAGTTCCAGGAAGCAGTTCGTCAGAATAAAATACGATCACTGCAAAGAAATTAGGATGCCTTATGTTGCAGATGCTTATTCAAACTCATCGCCAGAGACAGTAACAAACTTACAAATGCGTGGAAATGCTTCTTTTCAAGGCCATCACCTGCGAAATTAAATTGTTCAATTTAATCCGGTAGACACTTATCCTTCACAATAGCGTATTTTTATTCGTCTTTTCACAAGCAACTGTTTCGTATATGACGCCAAAATAAACATGATTTTAAAAAAATTTATAACAGTTTTCGGGGCGAAATTATCTCTGCACAAGATGCTTGAAGAATTTGAATCCAGGTGCAAGCACTAAGATGTCAGCAACTTTCAAAAATTAATGTACTTAGTGAGCAAAAGACCATTTCTATAAAGTGGATCATAAAAGCTAGAAAACTCACTGTCAGAGCGTATCAAACGTGCGTGTCGGACTCCTTATTTATAATTGCTATGATTTCTGAATTGATTTGTTTCTTGCTTCTGTTTTGTGATTCGCACATGCTCGCACCAATTTAAGATTGACTGTTGGTGCTATTTTTAAATGTCTAATGCAGTCTTTATTGTTCAGCATTTACGCAATCGGAGACTGCATTGAGGGACCGATGCTTGCCCATAAGGCCGAAGACGAAGGCATCCTCTGCGTGGAGGGCATGTGCGGCGGGGAAGTGCACATCGACTACAATTGCATTCCCAGCGTAATCTATACTCACCCTGAAGTCGCTTGGGTCGGTTATTCCGAAGAGGATTGCAAGAATAAAGGCCTCGATTACAAGTGCGTACATATTAAAACCATTTACCTCTTATTCGCAAGCCTCTATTTCGTTTAAGGACG